TGCGGATGAAGAGCACACAAGAGAGAGATAGGGTTTAGGTTAAGTGAAGCGGGTCAAGTTTGGTTTATGGGTTCAGATTTTGGTTTTCTTCTTGGCTGGGCTTTAACTGAAATTAGGTTTTTTTGTTTAAAAAGCTAGGCGGTGCACACTTTAACTAAAAATGGGATTTTTTTGTTTAAAAAACTAGGTGGCCCGCCTAAACGGACAGCCTAGCCCTAAGCGGCCGCCTATGCGGGACCGCCGCCTAGATTGGGCGCTACGGCCAAATCTAGGCAGCAAATGGTCCGCCAACACCTAGGCCGCTTTTTACAACATTGGGGAATAAGTTCTACTTTTATATCGGAAGTTGAGATCATGAGGAATTACAATTTTTTGGGGAAAGGGAGATGCCAATTTAAGAATCGTAATATGAGCCCAAAAAATTCATCCAAATCCTTTCCTTGTTGTAACACATATGCCGTAAGTTTAGATTAGTATTCAAGTAGCAGTTTTCAACTTTATCATCTTTTCCTCATGTTTTCATTTCTTCATTATCCATTTCCACCAACTGATGCCATCACAAGTGCAAAAGCCAGTCATCTTTTCTCACCCTCAGTATTTTGATCCCTCACACTATCAAATAGCTAATATTTGGTGTCTAGCAAAATCAAAGTCTACGAAGTGTTTTCAGGTGCATAACAAAACAGTTCTCGGTCGAACCCAAATTGGATAGCTGCATAGTCATATCTAAAGTGATTTTATGACTCCAATGAGTAAACGTTTTTGTATGATACAAGGATAGCTATTGTTATAATGAGCAATATACCAAGCTCCAAGGACCAATAGACACACACACACACACAAATATTACATGTATTTGAAAGGCTAAACTAGGCAGCTTGAGAACTGCATTCCAAACTTTTCAAAGAGGTTGCCTGCAAATATGTGTACATTGTACAGTGCATCTCTATAGCAAATCTAGTTGATCCTACGTAAATCATTAGATGGTACATTGCACAATCACATTTTACTAACATGGAACTAGTTGAAGCTTCACCAAGCTGATTGAGTGCATTCCAATGAAAACTTTCTAGTTTTCTACGATCGTCACGAAATCATGATTTGCATGAAGACCACTTTCTTTAATCAAATAGATAATGATATTGCAATGAGAAATCATGAACTGGCCTAACTATGATCATCTTCTATCAGTAATGAATGTTACTACAAGAGTGTGGTCAGCTTCAGACAATAAAGATAAAACGCTTTTATGATTTAATTCGCAACATAAAGTTTGGTTGGTGCAATGTATATCTCCGTTATGTCCATCCTATATGGAATTGCAAGAGAGCCAACAGCAAGACAATTCATATTTCAAAAATGTTAGGGTAGTTAGGAAACTAACAAAAAAGAAGAAGAATTTGTGGCAGCCAGTGCAATAATGCAGAATAATCCTGAGTTAAAATCAGGATTATTGCTACAGGGTAAGGAAAGGAAAGAAACACATACCGTGCATCATTGAGGTCTTTGATCTCACTGAACCCCCCACCACCATCAGAGGTACTACTTGCCTTCTTCACTGTGTCCCCCACCATAATAATTCTCGACTTCTCTGCGTTCCCCTGCAGCAAAAAATAAAACAACTAAAAATAAAATCTTTCAATAATTTGAAAAAAAAAGTTGTCAACCACATAGGCGTAACTAACCCCCTTCTTCATAGAGTGAACAAAAATCCTGCCATCAACGGAGAGAGCAAACCGAATGCCCAGGGGTCGCTCTAGGGTGACCATGTACTCGTTGAGATTCATTTTCCTGAATGCAGCCTGATCAGCTGCGGCAAAAACCCTAGAGAGCCTTCGCTTCCCGTTTTGCCCCCGCCCCACCGTCGTCCTCTTCAGTTTCAGAGAACTCTTTGAAAAGATTAAATCTTTGGAGCGAGAACGGAGAGAAGAGGGATACAGAGATGGTGAATCTTTGAGAGAATGCAGAGGCGATGGCTGAAGGAGAGACATCTGGATCGATCTCAAGGCGATCAGGATCGGAGTTTGGGAGCTCGATTTTCTTCTCTCTCTTCTTGGGGGAGTTAGAGGGAGAGGGAGAGGGAGAGAGGGGCAGGGGACAGTGATCCAGAAGCAGCGGCCATGGCTGAAGGTTAGCGGTGGGACCCACCTTGAGAACTAACCGGAACCGCACGCGACGTGCATGCAGAGAGCGCGTGATATGGGCCTAGCTCTTTGAACCAGTTGGGTTTCCTCGGGGTTTTTCAATATTAGCGTTTTTTCAGATCTCTGGTATTTTGATTGTAGTCCCTCACATTTTCATATTTTGATTTGAATTACCCAAATCTTCTATATGTGCTGATATTAGCACCCCCTGATTAGAATGACTTGAGGAATATTCTATCAACGTTAAAATTTAGAATCGTAGGACAGTTATACCCTTATCTTCTCCATTAAGAATTAAGGGGAGGACGTGGAGAGACTATAAATTTGTCAGCACCGCTCACCGCCATTGATACCTTAAGGGCCTGTTTGGATTTGTAGGGGGTGAAAGGAAGTTAAGGGAAACTGAGAGAAGAGAAGGGAAGGGAAGGGAAGGGAAGGGAGTTCCCTTCCCCTTGGTTACACCCCAATTTGGAGGGTAACAAATTTTATACTCTTAGGCCTCGTTTGGCAAGGGGGTAAATGAAGAGTTAAGTAGGTTTAACGCTTCGTTAGCCTGCCAAACAGGAAAAATAGGTTAAAGGTTAACTATCCCGCACGTGACCACAACAACCCCTTTAACCCGTGATAAGAAGGGATAACTATCCCTCGTAAGAAGGCGGAGCAAGCCCTATTCCGCCTTCTCACGCGAGGGTAGGCGATGAAAAATTTTGGGTGATTTTTTCATTAGGATCTTGGCTATTTTTCGATACTTCTTTCCCTCTAAAATTCCTCCTCTAAAATTTTCCCCAAATCTTGTGAGAGATCCCTGTAAAAATTTCCCCCAAATTGTTTCTCAGCCGACGGGAGGCGATTTCTCAGCTGACGGGAGGCGATTTCTCAGCCGACGGGAGGCGCTTTCTCAGCCGACGGAGTTGAGGTACGTTGATTTCTAGAACATATTCTATTTCTATAGTGATTCCGAGTGTCTTCAAATTCGGTAATTGATCGATTTCATCTATGTTGGCCCCATCTTGAGTAGTAGAGCCAAATTTCCAATCCCCGAAATGTAATCCATTTCCAGCACTCTCAAGTTAGTGAGATTTGCAATGAGGTGTTTTGGCACGGCTTCCAAAAACCATGTAAGCTTTAGTATTCGGAACCTCAGATTGGCTAAATCTTTCATCTTCATAGGCAGTGAGCTGATTGATGTACTGCGAAGCTCAAGATATCTCAAATTTACTAAATTTTCTATCCCTTCTAGCAGTTTCTCTGTGGGAACATTATAATTTCTTACATTTAATAGTGTAAACATTATTAGTGCTGTCAAAAGAGGCTTAAGAGAGGGAATTTGAATATGTTTTTAATAAAAAGGTTAAAATTGTTAACAAATTAGCTTTGAATTTGGATTGAATCCAAGATGATGTGAATTGAATTATTGTAAATATTTATTGCTTTAAGACCAAATGTTGATTGCTTTGTAGATTTGATTTTTTTGGTTCTAAAAGAATGCAATTATAAGTTGTATACATGTGGATTGAATTCTTATTAAAATTGATTACTTTAAGACTGAGTGTTGATGGTTAAGTGAATTAGATTTTTGTTAGGAATGATTGCAGTTAAAATGTGTATATAAGTGGATTAGATTTTTGTTTGCTCCTTTGATTGGGTATGTTTTCCTACAGCAATTTGATTATCCCATATAAATCCCTTTGAATGGGTATGTTTCGCTACTTAACAACGGGTTAAGTGGTTTAAACCGATCATCATCATTATGTTATCTATAATAATTTTCTTAGGAGACAACCATTGTATTACTGTCATTGTGGTGCCATACATTTCTATTCATTATATAGATAGTTTTCTTCATGTTTTCTACTTGCTGATATTCAGAAAGTTTCCTATGCTTATTTAATTACTTGAACTACTTAACAACAGGTTATGATGTGTAAGATAAGATTACACAATTAAATATTGTTTACATTGTTTGTGGGAAAATTTGTAATAAGAAAACAGGGAAAGAACTGTATTTGATTTTATTCTCTCTAACTGCGTAGAAAAAGAATGATTACAATTCTCTCAACTCTCGATTACAATTTGAATTCCTGGTTACAAAAGAGAAGAGAATGATCTGGATTCTCCCCTTTGTTTAATTCTGGGTTCTTCACGGTAGCGATGGAGTGCCTCCCTCGAATGCTCGCGTCGAGTTTGCTCTCCGTTGACGATCCGACGTTTTAATTCACTGGAACATGATCTTCTCCTCACGATTTCACGTTGTGGAGAACTCTGAACGAGTTTAAAACTCTATGAAAGAGTTGATTTAACCGAAAGTCGGTTATAAGCCAAGGATGAAGAAGATCTTGTTGCCAATCTCCAAAGTTCCAGAAATGCTCTAAGGATCCTGTTGACGAGCCAAGAAGTTCCAACAGACCAGTCAAACGCAGATCCTGCATTCTGGCATGAATTCTGCGTTCAAACGCAGTGTCTGGAAGCTTGAACGCAGTGATTGGAAGCTGCGTTTGCAGCGGATGAAAGCTGCGTTTGGCAGCGGTATAGAGCTGCGTTGGGCAGCGCTTGGAGCTGTGTTGCGCAGCGATATTGAGCTGCGTTGTGTAGCGATGTTGAGCTGCGTCGGGCAGCGATGTTGAGCTGCGTTGTGCAGCGATGTTGAGCTGCGTCGGGCAGCGATGTTGAGCTGCGTCGGGCAGCGAATAGAGCTGCGTCGGGCAGCGTTGGAGCTGCGTTTGAGCTGTGCTTGGCAGCGATTGGAGCTGCGTTTGAGCTGCGTTCGTGGCTATGAACGCGGTGCGTCTTGATGCTGGTACACGAGGAGGACTCCCACGTCTTGGTTTGAAGAGACCGTCGATTTGTAGTCTCTTTCTGTCGAAGCGTTGCAAAGATCGTCATTTTGTAATCTTTGCTTTAGCTCTCTGATATGTAAGAGTCGTCAGATTATAACTCTTGATGTTGACTATGAAGGCTGTTTGATTAGAGCTTCCATCAATTGTTGTGAAGGTCGTCAGATTGTAACCTTCAGCAATCTACGTGAAAGTCTTTAAATTGTAACCTTCTGGAAGTCGTCAGATTGTAACTTCCATCATCGGTGTTTGATGGGGATCAGCTATCTATTGTGATTTTTAGACAGCCTACATACATATATTAGAAGGAACCATTTGTCATGTAAACCTGATACATCCTAAACTATAACTCTTGACCTTTTGAAGAACAACATTTTTATATTGCCTTGTTTCTGGAACATTTCATGAATATTATCGACCAAAAGTCTAAATGCTCCCTTGTTTACAGAACTTATATCATTAGCTTTATATCAAAGAAAACTACAGATGAGAGATACAAGAAAGAAACTCCATTGTTTACAATTTCAGATTGTGATGCTACAATTTCAGAAAATATCATTATGAACGCTTTGATTAATTGTTTGTATACTAAAGAAGCTGGGGAAAAAAGTAAATTGAAATGTACCTGAAATTGGAGAACTTGGGTCGATTACATGCTCGCTGTCGATATCAGCGTTGCGATCTAAAACTGCATTCTGTTTCTAGCTTCTTAGTTGCAGAGTCTGACCTCTTCTTCTTTGAAATTGATCTTCTTGGTTCTCCTCTTTGCTTGATAGCTTTATAAAATCTCTCATTATTTGCTCCTAGCTGATAATAATTGATTAGTTTATTGTTCAATTGATTAACTTCTTTTAAAATTCTTATTAAATATCTAGAATGGCTTGGAATAATAATAATTGATTAGCATATGATCGTATTTATCTTTGTTTTTTCCCCTTGCAGGTAAGTTGAATATGAGTTGGTGATACCTTAAATTAAATGAGTTCAGCTGAATTTTAAGAAAACATCTTATGCTACATTAGTGGAGATTCTAGTTGGTGATACCTTATATTAAATGTGAACCTCAGGAAGTAGGTAGTATTATGATCAGTAATATGTTGACTGATTTTTGAGATTACAACTAACTCAAGCTCGAGTTTAATCTTTCTAATCAAATGCTTGGAATTCAGGGTTGTAAACAGAGTGGTCTTAAGTGTATAGAAGTATGACCATATTTATCTTTGCTTTTTCCCCTGCAGATAAGGATAAAAGTTCAAATATTGAACTTGATATCAGACTTAAAAAAATACCCAGTATGATTGGTTTTAAGTTTTAACTAGTAGTATCAGGCAATATTATGATACATGACTAATTCCAAATTCCATGATAGTCACAGATGATGCCAAACACAAAGATGCTTCGACACAGTCTTCATAATGGATTAACACAAAGATGCTTCGACACGGGCATGCCAAACACAAAGATGCTTCGACATAGGCATGCAGCAGTCCAGCTCAGGGCCTGTAAAGGCCGTCACTCTATTCACAGATGATAAACAACATGCTTTTGAGATGTTCATGGCCAGCGGATTATGCATTCTGGAGCTCCATTTTATTTGTCAGCTCATCATTACTGCTAGAATTGTTACACTCTAGTTATGGAGACCATGTCCATTGGAAATCTGCTGGGTTTTTTTTTTTTGCTGCTGAAATTTTTGTTTGATATGCTGCTGGAAATGGATTTTTTTCTCTCTGATTTTCACTGTAGCGGGAACTGTCTCTTGCTGCTGCATGGAGTGATTTTCCCATTTATTTGTTACTGTAGCAGTGAGTATCCCTTGCTTGTTTCGGTTATTGGCTTCTCTGATAATTCCGGAATGATATATGTGGTTACTGATGACGGTCTAGTGGCCGATGCTCATGCATGATTCTGGATTTATGGTTTCCTTTATGTGGATGTCTTATATGCGACTGGTGGCTCATATGGCTTGCGTGCTTATGGTAGGAAAAGCTGTCTCCAGGATGTTCATGTGGTGGCGGAGTAGGCTGACTTTTGTAAACTTTTTTGTATTTTGTTCAGGAGATACATTTTCAGAGGCTCACAAGTCTTTTGTTATAGATTTTTTTTCGAAGATCAACTTTGTAAGAGTGAGGGTTGTCTCACTTTGGAACTGATAACTCTCATTATGAGAGGCTAACCCGTGTAATCTTATTCATTAATGATATCTATTTTCCGTAAAAAGAAATCACAA